TCTGTGCTGAGAAACATTGCGAAACCGTTTCGTCACATTTTTGATACATATGTTTCGTAAGATAAATTGCTTAAACAGACACAATTATTACAAACATTACCTAAAATGTGTCCAAAAATGCTACTTGGGCGCCTTTGTTCACAGCAAAATAGTAAAATGCGGCAGATGTTTTAAGACTTTAAAGAATTAAGAACAGAGGCAAGCGATTCGGCGAAAAAGTTAATAGTAGAACATTCGTCAAAATTTACGGCAGACCTAATGAGCAAAAACAGAAAGTCTGTCAAAATTGTAGTAGGTCTGTCTACTAACTACTTTTAGACGATCAGTTCGGTTTCAGTCCAGCTGTCAGTTCTTTTTTTGTCAAATCTTTAATTAACTTCATTAATAGTAAATATTATAAAATATTATAAAAACTCACCGTTGTGTTTTTTTCAAAATCAACGACACTGATAAGTACAAATCCCAATCCGTCTCACACATTTTACTGCTCTTAACGACAACTGATTAGAATAAGTCGTCCTAGATCCATATGACGAAAAGATTGTTTACTGTTACCGGTCTTATCTCAATAGAAGAGACCAGTAAATTTACCGACAAAAATAATATTTACTTTGTCAAAATCACGACACCAGAATACAAAGATATTTCAGTATTAGCAATAATCAATTTGTGTGTTTTTTAGTATGCCTTTACTGTTTACTTATGTACCTACTAAACCTTCAGATCCAGATTATTATTAATTATGAAGAAGTTGATAACTCTCTCTGTTTATAAACAGATAAAAAGTTTGTTTAGTTAGAGAAGTTTTTAATAGTTTTAAAACTTACTCATTTTCTGCTTGTCCAGCAATTTGGTTCCAGAATAGTTTTGATGATGTTCTTTGATGTCGTTTTGCTGATTTTCTTTTGGTGTTTAGTTCTTTTTTCTAAATCCTCTTTAATTTTTGACACACTAACTACAAATTCATTATCTGACATATTGAAATGTCATGCACTCCAAAACAATTATAAGTTTTGGCGGCAAGCCGAGCATTCCAATCTAAACTTGTTTCCTTTATCTATGTCTATGCACAAAAATTACAGTATGGTACCTACGAGGAATTAAGAGACCCAGAAGACCAAACCTGAGACGGAACCATGATATTAGGAAATTAGTAGGGATAACTTGGGCCCGCAGAGTCAACAATAGACAACAATGGGCCCAACTACAAAGGAGTATCTAAATATAGTTGAAGCTGAAATAGATGATGATGATGACTCTACCGGGTGTTGCATCGTCGAGCGGGACATAGGAAATCCCATGTAAATTTTAATGGGGTCAATTATTGACTTCCCTAATTATTTTAGAGAATAATAATAACTTAGGTTTATTGAAGAGCACTAAAACCCACATTCAAAAGAATAACTTTAGATATTTTTGATTAGCCCGTTTACGAGTTATCGCTGATTTCTTTTTAAATATTTCTCCTTTCTTCTGTATTTACTTATGAGCACCAGTCAAGGTAAAAGATAACTGTCAAATGAAGTTGTCATTTCAGAAATTTATCTGTTTAGTGCTTTATTATTATTAAAAACTCATACCTACATTGAAAATATTAGCCATGAATTACACTACCGAAGAAAAAGTATTTATGATTAAATGGTATTATCAAGGAAATAGTTATCAAAAGGTGTCGGACATGTTTGCCGCTCTGCATCCGAATAGACCGATACCTGGAAAATCTACAATCGCAAGGAATATCTAGAGATTTGAGACCAAAGGTACCCTAATAAACAACTGCAGATGTGAAGCAAGGCAGGGACAAAGAGAAGATGCAAGAAATGATACCGGCTTGGAAGTTTTATTGTGCGTGGAAGAGAACGATGAAAAGATCAGCACAAGGAAACTTGAGGATGAAATAGAATAGATCACACTACAGCGTTTCGAATTTTGAAATGACATACATACTATTCCTTCAAATATGAAAAGCACCAAGAGCTACGAGATGGGGACGAAATACGGCGGCAGGCGTTTTGTTTTGATATGATGGAAAGAGCAAACACGGATAGGGAATTTTTAAAAAACATATGTTTCATTGACGAATGCACGTTTACCTTAAATAATGAACCCAATATTCAACATCATCGATATTGGAACCAAGAAAACCAACACGAGTAGTTTGTCGAAACAAGGACGCAATATCCACAGAAAGTAAATGTTTGGGCAGGGATATTCGGACACAATATTATCGGGCCATTATTTCTTACGCGAAATTTAAATACAGAATATTATTTGGAACTACTCAAAAATCATATTTTACCTGCTTTACATGATGCCGCTAGGGAAAATCAGGAAGTTTGGTACCAAATGGATGGCTGCCCGGCACATAGTAGCCTGGCTGTTCGGGTATATTTTGACAATAGTTTTAACGAAAACGTTATTGGCCTAAATCATACAGTAAATTGGCCAGCAGGGTCTCCTGATATTTCGCCAAATGATTTCTTTCTCTGGGGCCATTTAAAAAACAGACGAGTTAACCAGACAAAACAGACCAAATCTAGACGAGTTAAAAAATGCTATTTCTACCGAATGCAATACAATTTCAGTTTACCAACTAGCGAATGTAAGAAGAGAATTTTATGATCGCCTGGGTTATTGTCTAGCAATCGATGGAGGAATATTTGAACATCTTAAATCCTAAAGTTCTAACAATTTAATAGTACCTAAATTAATAAGTTATTGAATATTGTAATAATACTATAATTAACCTTGTAATTGATTACATTATTTTATTTTAATTCATATGAATTTGTATTTAAAAATACATCTTTAAGATTTCCGATGTAGGAATGAGTTTTCAATAATAATAAAGCACTAAATAGATAAATTTCTGAAATGACAACTTTATTTGACTGTTATCTTTTACCTTGACTGGTGCTCATAAGTAAATACAGGGCCATAGGAAAGGAGAAATATTTAAAAAGAAATCGGCGATCACTCGTAAACGGGCTAATCAAAAATATCTAAAGTTATTCTTTTGAATGTGGGTTTTAGTGCTCTTCAATAAACCTAAATAGAATTATTCTCTAAAATAATTAGGGAAGCCAATAATTGACCCCATTAAAATTTACATGGGATTTCCTATGTCCCGTCCGACGATGCAACATCCGGTATATGTATAGAAGTATGGTAGCTTATGTTATGTTATCTTTACTACGTTTCTTTTCATAAAGGTGTGTTATCTTAAGCAATAGGTACGATATTATTAATTTATTTTGTCACAAACGACTCTGGAGTATGTACCGGGTGGCCAACTAAGAATGGACGCCGGCTGTATCTCAGAAACTACTTATCGCATAACTTTGGGAAAAATACTGTAATAAGTAAATCGACCAAGAGAAATCGCTGGAAATTATTGCCAAGTTCGAAAAATGTCCGCTAGGGGGCGCTTCTCTGACAGCCAATCAGAAAAAAGTTTTTTTTCTCAAAAATATGCAGGTAAAGGTATTTTAAAAATTACTATTGTATTCATCGAGAAATTTGTAATTTTTTTTTGATATAGGGTATTTTGCTCTATCTCATAAAATAAAGTGGTGGAGGAAGGTCAAACTTGGTTTTATTAAAATAAGGATAACTCTGGTTTAGGCCAGCCGATTTAAACAAACTAGGGCTCGTTTAAAAGAGCTTTTTTTCTTAATAATTTCCAGTATAAATTTTGTCTTCATAGATTTTTCCGTGGTAGCTAGAGGGCGCTGTTTGACATCATAACAGATATTGTGCTTTTGCATAAAAAAATTAAGAGCAGGTTATGTTTTTTTGTACAGTTAAATAGAGCACACAATTTCCAAAATATCAGCGTAAACCGCAACTTTCTATTGTCTCTCTAACCGGAGATATTAAGAGAACAAACCATGTTAGGCGGCTGCTATTTAATTTTTTTATGCAAACGCGCAATATCTGTTATGATGTCAAACAGCGCCCTCTAGCTACCACGAAAAAATCTATGGAAACAAAATTTACACTGGAGATTATTAAGGAAGGAAATCTCTTTTAAACAAGCCCTAGTTTGTTTAAATCGGCTAATCTAAACCAGAGTTATCCTTATTTTAATAAAAGCAAGTTTAATCTTCCCCCACCTCTTTATTTTATGAGATAGAGCAAAATACGATATATCAAAAAAATACAAATTTACCATTGATTACAGTAGCAATATTTAGAATACCGCATTTTACCGTATTTTTGAGAAAAATCCTTTTTTCTGATTGGTCATCACAGATACGCCCCCTAGCGAACATTTTTCGAACTTGAAAATAGTTTCCAGCAATTTCTCTAAGTCAATTTACTTATTATAACTTTTTCCCAAAGTTATACGATAAGTAGTTTCTGAGGTACAGTCGGCGTCCATTCTTAGTTGCCCACCCGGTACATTGAGTAAAGTTTTGAGTCTAGAAAAAAAAACCTCCCAAATCCGGGATCCGCCCCTGATCTTAATTTAAATTGGTTATAAGGTTTTAAGTTAAATAATACCAACAAATTAAATTATTATCATAACTTTATTTAAAATTATATTTACAATTTCATTTATATCTTATATCATTATATAAAAATGGAAAAGAGATCTTAACTATTTGTTCTTAATTTGGAAAAATTCTTATTTCGATAGTAAGTACATTAACTATAAAACAACTATACAAAACTATAAAAATAATCTAAACATTATTATATTATTCTCTTCATTTAAGTACAAAAATAAGTATTAATTCTAGTAACTTTCTTTAAGAAAAGAACTCAAAAAGACAATATCTTCTTTGTTAACATATTTATTTATTAGAACAATTTGAAAAAGGCATTTAACATGAATGATGGACCTTATTGGTCCAAAAAAAACTGTATCTTGTAATATCAAAATATTTTTTTCGGAAAAATGTGAAACAATACTTTAACATTATACTAGAATAAAAGCTTTATTAACCAGTGCCGTACTACACTACACCAGCATCTCAACTTCATTGTAAGTTTGTAAAAAAATATAACATCATTTTAGTCAAACTAAAAGGAAATGTATGAGAAAGTATTGCACCAAAGCGTCAGATATTTTACAACAATTAATCCCAAGAAAATTTGTAAAATAATAATTAGAATAAACTCTGAAAGAAAACGGACTATACTTTTTCAAACCTATCTCTGAATACTATACATAATTATTGTATCTTACATGGCCTTTGATTGTCGTATCACAATTTTTTTTTTCTAAAAAACAGAAAAAATTAATGGCACTTTGTACTAAATTCACGTAAATTTACATTCAAATCATTCAGACATCTACTGAATCCCATAATTGTGCATCACTGTTGACGTATTGCACACTGTCATTGTTCCTGATCACATCCATTGGTATAGGTGATCTCTCACTACCGTTTTTAGCCACTATGTTCTTGTACTGTGGCATGTTGATGTAGTTATCTGGCGTTTTAAGTGGTTCTTTCCTGTCATAAGAAGACAGACCGTTGTGATGTAGGTTTTGTGGGGGTAAATGGTACATGGGGTTGGATATGCTGTTTATGGGTGTGATTGGTTTCAAATAACCAGATTCGCTATCTGATTCGTTGTTGGAATGCAACATGGGGTGTAGTTCTTGGCTCTCTGAAATAGAAAAAAAATATTTATACAGCGTTGTTCACCACATACGACACGGAGTATTGTAGCTAAACGATTAGATTTTTAGAAATTGTAAGTTTTAGGTTCGTTGAAGGGCTATTAGAGTGTCCCAAATAAGTAAAAGATATCGTCCCATTGCTGCCAAAAGTCACTAACTTACTTTTTATTACTTCCGAGAAAAATGTGTCTAAAGATGAATTGCATTGCATAAAGATGTTATAGTTAGTAACTATTCGGTATTAAAATAAAACATAAATAGCCAGAAATCGTAGTTAATGACTTTTGCAATCGATTCTCCGCTTCAAAACATATAGTTAGTGATTGAATTTGGTTGTTTGGAAAAATGTTAGTTAGTGACTTTTGGCAGCAATAGGACGATATTATAGTTGTATTTTTTTAAATGGAACATCCTGTATATTATTCTATTTTTAAATTCTACCTTTGAAATAAAAATAAATTTGATTAAGGTTTATCACACTTAAACCTTACCGTTTTTGAAATATTTTCAATTTTAAGAAATTGCAGTAAAAATTTTAAGGCTTCATTTTTCCAACGGCATCAAAGTTTTTAATATTAAATATTTAGTGAAGTTTATTTATTGATCAGATATTGTGTTTAATAATAAACAAAATACTATCTTATACAGAGTGTCTAAAAATTTATTTTAAATAATTACTAGCTTTCATCGGCAATAACTTGTTTATTTTAAATGGAACACCTTGTATGTTTTACGAGAATCAGATGCACAATTTAATTGCCTATCAAATTGTATTATACCTTTTTTTACCTATCTCTTCAAGTTTTCGTAGAAAATGCATTTTCTTATAATATATACCTCATTTATCACTATACCCATGGAATATCGACATAAAATGCAAAATTATTTTGCATTCGAAAATTAGTAAAAAACCTCGCAGAAAATCGTAACTCAATAGAATGTCGAAACCAATGACTAAAGAATCCAAGGACAAATAACCCGAGAGCAAATAATTGTGACGATGTCACCAAACAGTGCCGTGGCACATATTTTTCTGAAACTAGCTGTTTGAAGAGATATTTATATTTTTTAATACGTTTAATTACTATTAATTACTACTAATTACATACAATTAATTACGAAAAAAACGTATTAAAATGTTCACAAAAGGTACAAAACTAGTACGACGTATAGGACACATCAAGTACATATAATATCAGAAAAATAATTATCGAATTCAATAAGAAAACTAAGAAAACGCTAAAAAGGTGGAGCGGACTGTGTATTTACCTATGAAACGTAACTCCTGGCTCTTTCTTAACGCTGCTGCTTTTACACTTGAAAGCTGAACAACTAGTCACCATTGTAATAAAGTTTATACAAAGTTATCTTCACACAAACAATTAAAAATCGCTAAAATTGTCGCTGGTGATCAGATGATGACTCATTGTTTACCATCAAAAGAATGGTGTCTAAGGTCGCAAATTCTGCTGCAGCCCTTATATGGGCGTTACATGTCCTTATATTCTTTAGTCATTGGTTAAAACAAAATAGTACCTCGTGACGTCACTATCGTAAACGCGGTCAAAGCCGACGTTTTAGCAGGCTTCTCATACGTATACGGCGTTATTACACCATATACTTTAAGAATATTTTGTAGAGGTGCTTTTGGGGTCTAAATGATCATTTTAAGACAATAAAAAAATACCCGCAAGGGGCCTATTCAGTACCTCTCCGTGACTCTTCTGCCTGCTTCTTGCCCAAACTAAAACTAAACACCTCGTCCTGCAGCAGTCTAGGACTGAATATGTTATTGGCTCCCATGAAGGTGTAGCCCTCGGGAGATCGAGCTCCTGCCGCCGTACCTTGTATGGGGAAGGCTTGTCCCTCGTTGACGTAGTGTGGCGAGGGCGCTGACAGCTGGTCGAAAGATGGCGGGCTAAGCATGGCCAGGTAGTCGGTGTCTTCTAATTGGTGGGTGTTCATGGCTAGGTAAGGGTCGTTCAGGTCCACGTAGTGCTGAAAGAATTAGAAAACAGCCTGAATTAATTAATGAATATTAAATAAAATAAATAAGATCCATCATTAAAAACATAAAATAACAAAGAATATGTCAAATCTCGCATTGTTCTTTCACTACAAAGAATTGTGAGATCTCATTTAAAACTAAAGCTTGATTTTCATGCGTCCGTTATCCGTTGATACGATGGTCCGACGGCCGGCGCTCTGATTGGTTATAGCGTTTTCGCGCCACTTTTCATCCGTAAATTTTTTGCTCCAGTCTATCAACGGAGAAAAGTTAAAATAAATTTAACTTTTCGTACGATAACGGACGTTTTGACACTTTTTGACAAATTTAACCTAACCTTGAAATGAATTAATAAAATATAATAGTACAAGAGCTAACAATAGCTGTTGCTATGCTCTCCTGACCATGGGCGCCGGAAGAATGAAATTTAGGGGGGGCAAGGTAAAAATGAATAAAAAATTGAAACACATTTTTGGTAATTATTGGGAAAACTGGAAATCGTCCGATTTTCACCAAAATTGGTATACACCCTATTTTGAAGTCGTAGATTACGAATCTGAACTTTTTTTCTTGGCGTTTTTCAGAAAAACGGAAAATAATTTCAATATCGAATTTTTCTTAATTTTTGTCATATTTTTAAGGTTTTCTAGCACATATTTTGTTAGGTATTCAATAATCAATGATGTTTTTGCTATTTTCTGTTACTTTTTTAATCAATTCTATGCATAATAGAGGAAAATTTGCTAAAATAAATTTGTAAACAATCTGAAAATGTTAGGTTATAGCTTTGTTCGGGTTCTTGTTATTACTGATTCTGAACCGTCCTAGAACACTAAAGCGCATGCGCAAATGAAATAATGTCTTCATATTTCCTACTGCGCATACGCATCACAGTTCTAGGACGGTTCAGAATCGGTAATAAGAGAAACCCGAAGTAAGCTTATGTGTTTCTGGCATTTAAAGCAACGTTGCTAAACCTTAATTTAGCGTGTTTTGTTCCCTCATTCTGGAATTACGAAAGGCGGTCGCCAGAAGAACGGCTCCTTCCCATAACTGCTATTTTACCAACGAAATCTGACTATTTATAACCATTTGTACGAAAGTTTTGATTGCATTGGTTACACAACTTCCATGCGGAGGGTGTTAATCTTTTGTTGTTATATTATATCAAAAAAAGATTAACCCCCCCCGCAAAGAAGTTAAAACCAATGCAATCAAAACTCTTCCGCGTAACTTTGTGGATATAGGTGTATATTTAATTATTGTCGATCTCATAATAGGTAATTTATTTAAAATCCCTAATCACCCGAAAAAATAGAAGATATGGCAACGTTGTAAATTTTCAAATTTCTAGATTAGGTCTAGAATATATTTGTCTCTCTCATTGCATAGGAGAGAGAAAGAAGGATATATCAAATGTCAAACTTTCATCTGGTCTCAATTTTCTTTGTTATTTTGTTAAGAAAAGTGTTTCTCAGTAAAATGTTGGACATTTTTGTATCCCCAATCAAGTGTGGCTTTTAGATAAACTATAATATAATGAAAATATAGTGAAATTATTACTTTATAGGGCCGAAATACAGAAAAATTCAATGTTGAAATAATTTTCCGTTTTTCTGAAAAACGGTAAGAGACCGCTAAGAAAAAAGTAAATTCGTACGACCTCAAAATAGTGTGTATACCAATTTTGGTGAAAATCGGACGATTTCCAGTTTTCCCAATAATTACCACATTTATTATTATTTTACAGGTAACACCTAAAATTTCATAATAATGATTATTTTTTTACAGATGGATGTAAGAAGATAGCTTTTATTTTTATTGTTTCAGTGATCCAGGGGGGGGGGCAAATGCCCCCTCTTGCCCCCTGGCCTGGCGCCCATGCTCCTGACAAAAGTGTGTGCCGTTACGCTGCGGGTAAACTTTGCGGTTCACTACTGCGCATCACATCTGTATAGGGTATCCCATTTTCGTGTGCTTTATGAGATTTCTCATTTATATTATCACATTACTTTGCTACTTTTTTATGAAACTAAATATGCTACACATATGTTTGTTCTAGCCTCCTTAGTTCCTCAAATTTAGGACGAATTTGTTATGCGCAGTAGTGAACATATGTTGAATACAGATATGATGCCCAGTAGTGAACGCAACGTCTACCGGTTCGGTGGAGCATCAAAAGATATATTAAAAAACAGCTTTCTTAAAATTTTCTCTCGAAAACGTTGCTAGCTTTTAGACTATAAGTAAAACAGCGAAATCGTTATGGAAATGAAAATATAAAATGACACCAATCACAACCAAATCGTATATCCGATGAATAGAACGGAGGCATGAGAATAAAATAAATTTAAAAACTCAAAAATTTTCTAACCAATCAAAGTCTTTAAATTCATCCAATAAAATTAATATCGTATTATCGTATCGTCGGATAACTTTGAATAAGAAGACTAAGGAAGAAGCATAATGCTATCCATATATTCATGCATGGTGGGCGGAAAAAGCACCATAAAAGCACTCTAGGGTGGGGATCCTTGACAGTTCTGTTTGACGATTCATTTGACACATTTGAATTTGATTTGAAACTTTGTGGATTTGTCAGTCTTTACGGAGCTTATTTTATGTTATGTATTATTTATTCTACTACTGATAGTTGTATAAAGGTAGTAAATCTAGATGGAAATTGTGGCAGCACTTAAATTAACAGTGACACTATCGCGATTTATCGAAAAAGACTCTAAAATAGTTGGTTGTGTAGCGTGCGGTATCGGCAAAAATTGAGTGGAAATAATGGAACAACTTTTCGCTGGGTGGGGTGACTATATAAGATACATACGTGTAGTAAACCGATCATTTATGAAATTCACTTAAATTAACTAAATTATATATTTTTCTTGCATTTTAGCTTTTATTTATTACTTGTCAAAGATTAGATGTCAAAGAATTTAGATACGTTAATTTGAGCGTAGTAGCTTCAGTAGCGTGATTATAACTTATCTATTTTTATTAGAATTATATATTTTTATAACAATTTTAATAACTACCAACATTTATTCACAACGTAAAATAAAACAAGAAATTATTGAGTCTACCCCACGTCTATCCTACATCATAGTTTCACATTTTTTAAATAAAATTAGAACGACACTGATAAACCGGAATTTAAGTCGGCCATATTTGAGGCCCATCGCGGTGTACCTAAGATTTTTGATATGCTCCTTCCTTAGTCTTCTTATTCAAAGTCGGATAAAGTATGCATGAAAGTCAAGTTTAAATCAGATATTTTAGTATCTTTTGGTATCTACCTCTTCGACAACTTTCGTATAAACTGATATCTAATCAATTATTATTTATCAACATTTATAGCGACTGTATCAATATTAGTCATCTTTATTTCTATAATAATTATAATGAATTATCGAAGTACCGTGCTCGCACAGTATCATAATTATAAAAGAATAATCTACTGTTTCGATTACTAAGTAAATCTGAACAATGCAACTTAAGAATACAACTTTAATTAGTAGAATATGTTGCCGTGCAATTATCAAGATTACCTTTCGGACACTTTCTTCCAGAAGATAACCAATTCTTTCTGTTAATGCTGTGAAAGTTGGCCTTGCAAGAGGCTTAGATTGCCAGCAGTCCTCCATCATGCTGTACCTAAAATAATACAAATTCGCATTTTTATATATTTTGTTGTTATAACTACATATATAAAAAATAACTACAGCAGGTTTAGTCGTGACTGACTAAGTTAAGAAAAAACTCAAAATTTTAGTGAGGATGCAGTCAATAATCACCACATAGGCTATATATTTCTTAAAAATTACTAAAAAAGACTAATTTCTACATTGTTGTTTCGAGGTCGATCAAACAGTGACTCTGACCCCAAAAAAATTGTTTTAAAAAGTAATGTCGTTGGATATGGATTAATATTTTATAAAGGTAAGTTCCTTGTGTTCTAATATCATATGATGCTAGTTTTAAGGCCTTTTTGTGCAGGGGATGTTGTTTTTGCTAATTGACGCAGTCAACTGTCCTGGTGAAGGGAATAAAATTCTCGAAAGCTTGACAAATTTGAAAAAGTAGTTTTATTAGCCTATGTGGTGATTATTGACTGCATCCTCACTTAAATTTTGAGTTTTTTTATATAAAAATTTAAATCTGATGGAAATATCAAATTATAAAGAGGCAATTAATTTCAATTCAGTTGTTGGTGGCAATATTACTTACATTTCTCTAGGAGCGTACATAGGAGGTTCCATTCTATATCCCTCCACAAGCTTATGATATAGCCGTTCGTCAGCTTCCATACCTGGATACGGTGTTCTGGCTAGAGAAAATAATTCCCATAGCACTACTCCGAAAGACCATACGTCAGACTGAGTGGAGAACACTCTATCCCTAATGGATTCAATAGCCATCCATTTCAGTGGTAATGGACTCTAGCAAATGAAAAATAAATTATTTTTTTAACTTGTCATTACTTGATAAATATACAATTCAAAGATTATAAGATAAATAAGGCTGTATTCTGTTGCAAAACCAGGCGAACCAGACCGGTAAACACTGGTAAAGAGCGGTTCCTGAAATCGGTATGATACGGAACGGTTTGGTAAAATAGTGGAAACGTCAAATGTTGACGTTTTCTAAATTTCAGTACCACTATTATAAAATTTATCTTTTATGCATTTTTAATGTACCCATTCTCTGCTTTTACGTTTTCTTCTTCTTTTCAATGGAGTTTAATATTGAAAAATACTTTATTAATAATCTGTTAAACTCGTTAGACAGCTCAAGTGAAGATTTGCAGGTCCAATATTAAAACAGATCAATAATAAATAAACAAATCTAATCAATATTTATATTTTTATAGCTTACAAAACATTCACGATTATTTGTTGTCTAGTTTTTCATGTTTTCTTTAAACGTTCCTGACTTTAAGAAACAAATGGCTTTTGGATGTAAATACGAAATATTACAAATTTTAGAAATTAAATGAGAATTTCACTCGAACCTCCAATATATGCTTGATTTCTGTCACATAAATGACATTGATTGACAAACAAAACCAGAAAAACCAGCCTTCCCGCGCTGCTGGTTAGTTTGGTGACAGTTATAACCGAATTTTCCAGGAACCGTGTTCCGTAATAAGAAAACTTTCAGGAAACCAAAATAGTAAAGTAATAAACCAAACATAAAACCATAACCTATGACCATAACCAAGGCACCAAGGTAAGCAACTTAGCGCGCACTTTTTCCTTTTTCTTGTAATACATATACAGGGTAGCGCACCTCATTTGACTCGGTTGATTATAGGAAAACGGACAGATGTAGAAACAAAATATTTTTTCTACGACTAGCCTAGAAAATGCAGTTTGACACACGGAAAACTCGATCTGAAATTGGCGTTTTGTAAACTTTTGTGTGCTAAGGATTTAGCGCACGACATGTGTCATTTTGCACACGACATGTGCCAATTTTAACATTTTAACCTCCAATGTTTAGCTGAAACGCCAAACGCAACGCAGCCGTCAGAAAAGTGTCATCATTACATCGCAATTTTAATAAAAATATTTCACAAAACTGGCAAAAACTGAGTGCTGCTAATTTGTAGTCGTAGAAAAAATAGCGTAAAAAACTCGTTCGAAAACTTCTTTGTACACTCGTTCGACTTGTGTCAAACATAAAAACAACAACAAACTGTCGAACTCGTGTGCAAAACGTCGTTTTCGAAACTTGTTGTTTAATATACTATTGTGAGTATATATGGAAAGGAAATGTGGCATAACTTAAAATTATTTTGAAATGTACAGGGTATGTCAGAACTAAGATCCACACCAAAGTTATATTTTTTTCTTATGGAACACCCTGTATTTTATTATAAGGGTTAAATATGTTTAAAATTTTTGGTTTTTGAGATATTTAAATATGCATGCTACAATATAATAAATTATCAACACCCTGTATATTACTTTTCAGAATTAATTCTTGTGCTGAGTTTAAAGGTAGAGGATTTACTGAAAAATTTTATTGCTTCCTTAAATTTATACAGGGGTACCAAAAAAAGCAGATTCGAATGCTTTTTCAACCTATATTAGGATTTCCTATAGCTATCTAGCTGAGATTTTAAATGAAGAGCAATTTTTCAATAAAAAGGCAATGAAGAGGGCTGATGTCGTCATGGCAAGTTTCTATAACAATTAGTAGCTATTTTCAAAATTAAAATTAATTTATGGACTTTGTTTAAATTTATAGCAGTTTACTTTTATTTAATTTACCCCTACAATAGTTAAATAATATTTATTTATTACTCTATCAAGAAAAACGAAGTAGTTCTTTGATTTATTTTACGATGACTTGTAGATATATGGATTTTCTATAAAAGTGTCAATTACGGCAAATTCATTTTCTTCACTTCCAACGACAAATTTCTGCCTAATAGGTTTTTTATAAACCACACTACCAGCTCTGCGAAATAAATAAGACAAGTAGTTTTTCGAAGGAACGCTTATCAGGAAGATTCCTATTTGGATATCTTTGAGCATAAGTGCTTGAGGCCAAGAAGCAATTTTCCTCAAATTAAAATAACTAGTAACATATCCATTCGTTCCGCCAGCACATACTGCTTTATTTTTCTTGATTAAATAATGAATACTTACTTATTAAACTATTGTGGGTAAATTTAAGTAAACTGTTATAAATCTAAATAATAATGTCCATCAACTAATGTCGATTATAAAAATAGTTACTAACTGTCACTACAAAATTGCCACGGCGACACCAGCCATCTTGATTGCCATTTTATTGAAAAATAGCTTTTTATTATTTATTATTCAAAATGTGAGCTAGATAGGTATAGGAAACCCTAATATAGTTTGAAAGAGCAATTGAATTTGTTTCGATTTATGTCAAGAAATATAGGGTATTACATTTAAAATAACAAAGTTTTTATGTATAATAAATATTTAAAATAGATCAGCAATTTTTGGTACTCCGGTATAAATTTAAGGAAGCAATAAAAATATTCAGTAAAGTTTATTTCTCTATCTTTAAACTCAGCACAATAATTAATTCTGAAGAGTAACGTACAGGGTATTGGTAACCTATTCTATTGTAGCGTGCATATTTAAATATCTTTAAATATCTCAAAAACCAAAGATTTTAAACATATTTAACCCTTATAATAAATGCCTCTTTTGTGTCCAAGAATCCAAAAATGATATAATAATACCGGGTGTTCCATAAGAAAAAGTATAACTTTGGTATGGATCTTAGTTCTGAAATACCCTGCATATTTCAAAATAATTTTAAATTGTGCCCACATTGCCTCCCCACATATACTCATAAAATATTTTGTTTCTGCATCTTTCCGTTTTCGTATAATCAACCGAGGCGAATGAGGTGCGCCACCCTGTATATTGTGTTTAAAATTGAAGTGAAAAATGGGTGACAAAATTGCGAATTTTATTTGACACTTTTTAAAAGTCAAAGTAAAAAAAGCAGCCGTGGCAACATTGCAACGTGCATCCGTCAAATATTTTGTGACGTGCACGCCAACTTATGTTTATTTTCCTATATGTTTTCTTACATTTCCTTTCTTCTTGTAATTATTGTCTTTGTACATTGTCTTGGCCAAGCCAAAGTCGCATATTTTCACAATGTTGTTGTCCGCTAGCAAAATGTTTCTGGCTGCCAAGTCGCCGTGCATCACTTTCCTGGAAGCCAAGTACTCCATACCACGCGCTATCTGGAACGACCAAGTCAGCAAGTCTTTGGTGCAGACTGGCTTTACGTTGCCCCTGTAATCTCCTCTGTAGTTGGTTCTCCATTCCGGTTGGATACTGTTGTTGCTCAAAGTTACTTGGTCCTCTCCTAAAAAGACGTAATAAAGTTAGAAGAACTATTTGTTTGTGCCAAATAGAATAATACCATCTATCTACTTTAGATAGAAAACATTAAAATACACTTATTAAAATTAAAACCAATTTAATATACATATGTGTATAATATTACCTAAAGATGTAACTTGCGTAGTTGCTGAGTTTAATGCTCCATTTCTTTCTTTCTCTCTGTAGTCTTGCATAGAATACGGTGTAGTTATTGTGCTTCTGAAATAAGTAAATCATGAAAAATAACTGTGTGTAAAGGCCGTATTTTTTAAATATTATTAATATTGAGGAGACCTTTGTTAAGAATGATAGATATACCTCTCTTTATTTCAAGAATATGTAACATAACATAGGCTGAAATAGTGTCAAAGTAAACAAAAATATACAAAATATTTTCTTAGAGAAAATGAATAAAATTAAAAAAAATATATATACAACTAATTATTGTTCTGGCTATTACCATGTAAATATCAAGAACAGCATTAAAAAGAAATGAAATACTTAAGTACAAGTTATATGAAATATGAATACTTTCGTCATTTAAAAATAATCAATAAAAAATGCAATAGACAAAAGAAAAGAAGTTTTTATCCAGTTACATATCCTAATTATTTCGGCCATACTCAAAAAACTCATTCAAATTATACGGCTCCAGTTTTACTAAAAACTTAAATATCTCTTTTTTTAATTTTGGCAACTGTGAAATGTTTTTTTTATTTCTAAAGGTAAATTATTGTGAAAATAATCAGAAAATATATAGACAGACACTTAAATTTCACGTCTAATCACAGTATAAATGTAAAAAAAGGTGTTATAAAAAGTTTACATGATAGGGCAAAAATAATATGTTCTGACGACAATTCACTAAACAGAGATATAAACCACATAAAAATACATAAATAAAAAACGATTATCCACCATCTTTTATTGACAAAACAAAACGAAATAGAAACCCCAACTTATAGACAGAATACACACAATGATAACAATACATAATATATACAACTTACAATTCCATACATACGAGTCGTTTCAGAAAAAATAAGAAGGATAGGAAAACAATATAACATACGAACATCCCTCAAAACACAAAATACACTTAGATCCATTTTAACACACACTAAACCAATGAAAACTGGACAACAATAAAAAAAATGCAATATACAAAATACCATGTCAATGTGATAAATTTTATATTGGTGAAACATCTGGACCGTTAAATGTTCGAATTAAAGAACATAAAGGTTATTTGAGAAAGGGCGACTTTCACAAATCTAAGATTTGTCAGCATTCATGGGACACAGGACACGGAATAGATTTCAACAACGCAAATTAGTTAGGCAAATTTGTTCATTAGTCACTGCTGACAATTAGTCTCCATTGGATTAACGCAGCGGTGTTTACAAAAACGAACTATTTTATTTTGTAGATTTTCTTCCAGTGGCGAAATACCCATAGGGCTTTTTTGGATAGATGAATCCGTCACATAGGTATAGACATTTTTTAATGAAAAATTAATGTTTGCAAGAGCCGTGTTTTTAAATATCATTAATATTGAGCAACTTTGTCAAGTTGTTATTTGTTTAAACAAGAAAATAATCATAAAATATATAATATAACAGTTCAATAATTTTTTTCAAATCAAACATTGTACATAAAACGGTTAGCTAGTTGTACACTTACCCATTATCACTAGATATCGAGTACATTCTGTCCAAAACATGGGAGCCTATGTTGTAATCAACTTTTCCAGTGGTATGATCGACTTGGTTGATGAAGGATTCGCGGTGTTTGAAAAGATAGTTCTGCAAATTTCCGTATCGGCAAAACTCAACAATTACAAGTAGTTCCTCTAAAAAATATAAGTCCATTAGTATATTTAATAATTATTATTTAATCACGTCTCAATGTTAATTAATAATCAAATTAATGTATAGACGTAAACAATGTATGTATAAATATATATTGTAACAGACAGATTCGGAAGACTGGTTATTTAAAGAAATACAGTGTGAAAAATATTTTTATTGCCCCACGTTGGGCGCCAAAATGTAACAAAAAGATGTTTTCACTTTCGCCTTGGAAATAAAATGGCGCTGAATAAAATTCTGTAGTGGCAACAAAGGTTACTCATAAAAACGAACTACGAGGGCCATCTATACCTCTATTTATACGAATAGTAATAATAAAATACAGATTCTTGTGTCAGTATCAAATACTTCCCACAAAGTATTATTACTTATGCTACAATTATACAATAATATACATAATATATCCAAATTAGGAAAAAATCAATACTTTTTACAATACTGCTGTTACAGAATAAAATATACAAACTTACTATTTGCAACATTCTTTGTACACGCCCCCAGTAAATTGACCACATTGACGTGCTTTCCCAAGTGGACCATTATCTTCAATTCCGAAGCCAGAGCTCGGATGTATGTTTCGTCGGCATTCTTCTTCACCATTTTCACGGCTACGATTGACTTTTCTTCTCCCGGTATTAATTTTTTCGCTTCGGCTTTCACGACTACACCGAAAGCCCCTGACCCTAATTGTTTACCTTAAAACAAGGCTGTTAGTTTTTTAATAAATTTACAGGGTGTTTCAAAAAACATGTACTCTTTCATATCAAGATTCTCTTACGTACAAATAAGATTTATTTTTATGTTAAAATAGATCCGATTCTGCTTTGTTTCGTAGCAACAAGGGGTTAAAGTCACAAATATTTAATCTATTCATCGTTACAATATTGATAAACTTTCAAATACACAAACATTAACAATGAGTCAATGCAATAAAATAATAAAAAATAATATAAAATAAATAATATAAATAAATATAATAGAATATAAACAGTCAAATTATTCCCCGGAAGATGGGTTGGAAATGGTAGAGCAGTATAATGGCCAGCGAGGTTCCTCCATCTGTCGCCAAATAGCAGGGGGACATTACTTGACGTCATTTGTTAAATGAAATGTGAAATACAATACATCTAAACAATTACAATAAAGAGTACAAAATCCCTCCCTATTGCACAAATTTATTTTTCATTCAATTTTATTTATGGCTCTTCTCTTTGAACTTTCTTCTTATACTTCCGAATGAGTATAAGAAGAAAGTTCAAAGAGAAGAGCCATAAATAAAATTGAATGAAAAATAAATTTGTGCAATAGGGAGGGTGGCAACCCTTTCGAACATGTAGAGCATTAGAAACGAGTTTATAGAAGTTGATTTATTTACAATAACTACGTTTCATATTATGCATATTATTAGATCGCACACTGATATTTCAAATTCACAATAAAAAAAGGTAAAAATAATATCTTTAAATTGCTGACCTGGATATTATTTATTTGAATCTTCCAATTGGCTCGATTTGTTCTTATTCAATGTTAATTAGCGCTGATCAATATTGTTGCGGTGAATATAATCAGATTAAATACTTTAAAAAACCAGAGTCGGACTTGAAATTATTTTAAATAATAAGTTAAATAGTTTTGTTGTCGTTAAGGTACCCAAAACAAAAAAAGTATTAAGTGTGGCATATCATTGTACTCAGGAGACCGAGTTCTTTCAAAACTTAAAAATAAAAAATGCAGGTCCGTATTTAAAAAAAATAAGTTGGCCTCTGTATCTCACAAATCATCAGCTAATTTGAAAATCTAAAAATACCATCAGATATCCCTAATAAAGTGGCTATGGAAATGTGCAATTAGTTATTTGATTTTTAAAAAAGTAACGACAGAAAAAAATAAAATCTATTTTCAAAAAAATCCGTCTTTTCCAAAAAACTCAGCAATCCTTGAAATTTTTATAAGTTTTTGATGGCATCTTGGTGAACATCCGAAAGCGCAACTTTGCCCCAATTTAACCATGTTCGTATCTATTACGATTACCGAGATGCCAATGCTAGTACCTCGAATTTGTAGCACCCTGTATTTATATAAACTCATTTTTTAGTAAAACACAATTAAAACATCTGATTATATTTTTGTCTTCAAAGAAATGGTGCAAAAATGCAAACAGGACTGATAAATTTAGTCTCACGAATCTTTGAAAATAAAACTAACTTAATTTAAAAAAGAAACTTTTATTTAACTATGTTGTTAATAATTAAATATTTATAATATAGGTTTAATTCAATTGAAAATATATCTGTTAATTGAATAATTAAGAACAAAAATATTAAAAGCTTTATAGCAAATATTAGAGAAACTTTAAGTTATGCTCATTATACAGAAAACTCTGTTTTAATGATATAAAACTCCTCAAAATATGCAGATATAATAAGCTAGTATTGGCTATAAAACCTTCTAGAAAAAAAAAAAAAGTGAAAAATTTGTTTAAAAATATTTTAATTATATGCTTAAAGTCTCTCTAGATAAGTAATTGAACATATAAAAAAGCAGAAAATTATTATTAGATAATATTTAGGAGTATTCTACGTGCGTGTGCAGTTTTTTCGCCAGTCATTTGAAAAGTGAATATTTCTGATTAAGCCCATTTCGACGGAAGGATCTTATACACAACCCTGTATATTAAAAAAAGGTTTCCAAAATAATTTAATATTCAAATTAAAATTGTGCTCAAACTCTTACCAACGTTCTCAATCTCAAAACTACTCTTGAAAAATGTCAATTATTGAACATTAAATAGATTTTAAAACTTCTGTATTCTGTTGCAAAACCAGGCGAACCAGACCGGTAAAACTACGGCAAAGAGCGGTTCCTGAAAGACATCGGTTTGCTATGGAATGGTTTGGTAAAATCATAGGGTAAAATACTGGAAACGTCAAATGTTAATGTTTTCTAAATTTCAATACCTCTATCTCTGCCTCTGTTATAAAATTTATCTTTTATGCATATTTAATGTACCTATTCTCTACTTTTACATTTACTTCTTCTTTTCAATGGAGTTTAATATTGAAAAGTACTTTATTAATGAACTGTTAAACTCGTTAGACAGCTCAAATGAAGATTTGCAGATCCAATATTAAAATAGATCAATAATAAATAAACAAATCTAATCAATATTTATATTTTTATAGCTTACAAAATATTCACGATTACTTGTCCTGTTTTTTCTATTATATATTTGTATTACTATTTCTTTAAATGTTCCTGACTTTAAGAAACAATGGCTGCATGATAAGTTTAAATGGTCCTAAAAAGTCATTCTATTTAGTTAATGAAATTTATTTACCTTTACTACCTATCTCCATTGCTTTTGGATGTAGATACAAAATATTATTACAAAATTTAGAAATTAAATGAGAATTTCACTCGAGCTTCCAATATTTGCTTGATTTTTGTCACATAAATGACATGGATATATACACACATTGACAATGATTGACAAACAAAACCAGAAAAACCAGCCTTCTCGCGCTGGTTAATTTGGTGACAGTTATGACCGATATATTTCAGGAACCGTATGGGAACCGTGTTCCGTAATAAGAAAACTTTCAGGAAACCGATAGAAACTGAACATAAACCATAACCAAGGTCAGCAACGGAATACACCTCTGGAATACACTCTTAATACATCTGATTATATTAAATTTGTAGTCTAACAAAACTGTAAATGGTTTTAACCATAAGGCAATATAGAATTATAAGGCAATGTAGAATTTTATATTTCAAGAGTAGTTTAGAATTGTAGAACTGAAAAATTTAAGAATCAACCATATAGTTAAAATTACCATAACACTCATTAAACTTACCCAATTTCAATTGATCAAATGACACTTCCCATTTTTTGTCGTAGGGCAACAGTTCTGCTTGATCTCCAATACCAATTTCAGGATTAAGTTGTTCAGGATTGCCTTTGTGGAAGTTCTCCAAACCTAAGCTCTTCAGTTTCCTTTTTAGTTCCTGCAAAATTGTCACAATTTATTAGACAATCGTACAGAATATATATTCGTTTATAGAGTTTACCTTATCTTTCTTTATCCTGAAAATAATGTAAATAATAGCGATGAGGAGGCAAACTAGGACTATTCCGATGATGTAATAATAAACGGTAAGTGATGTGGGTTTCACTGAAAAGTAAGTGACATTTAGAAAATGTTTATGCTTTCCGTAAAACCAAAATAACTTACTATCAAACACAAGCATTCCTACTCTGGAGTCTACACCCAAATCGTTGGAGATTTTGCATGTGTACTGGTTCTCGTCTGTCACTTCGGTAGAAAGAAATCTTAAAACACTCATATTTTCTTCAAATATTACTCTTTCGGTCTCATGTATCGCATTGGTTCCCTAAAATAAGTACCATATTGTAAAGTCAAATAATATAATAAAATTATTTTTAAAATGTAGAAAATGCGAATAATATAATCACAAGTTATGGTTGTTTAATTATTACGCTGTGTCTCAGTGTCAGTGTTTTGTGCGCACCGAAGTTTTATATTTAGTTCAAGTTAACGTGCACCTAGACACAGCAAAAACACCTAGTACACCTAGAACCAGCAGAGAAAATATTTTTGAAGTGAAACTTCTTTACGCGCGATGTGGGTAAAAATTCAAGGCCGTGACATCACGACCTTGGCGCACGAGCTAGCGAGAAAAAAAAGTGGTAAGGATCTCGAAAACAACAAAAAACATTTGATTTAAAGCTAAGAAAATCATTATAATAAACTTGATACTGCAGCTGGGTACCAATATCTTCTGGTTGTGTGCTAGAAAGTAAATTTTCATTATATGACTATGGCAAGTTCTTCGACTTACAAGACAGTGAAATGTATACTGTTCATCTAAAATACCAACGCCCCATTAATATAAGATACCACCTATTTTCCTCCCAACAAAACATTCCTAATATCCCTGTATCCACTTTTTCCGACACACTGCCCCCTCCATGGAAGGATCCTATTTCAGTTAATATGGAACTTTGTAAATTAAAAAAATCTGAAACATCCAGATATCTTTACAAAACTAGTCTAATACAAATCTTAGACGAAACATATCGTGATTATATTTGTTTTTACACAGATGGCTCGAAATCTGACCAAGGTGTTGGCTGTGCTTTTTACAGCCCGGTTGCTGATAAAAAAATCAGATTACCTAATTTCTCTGGCCTTTTAACAGCCGAACTCAGAGCTATTTATCAGGCTCTTATCCAAATTCAAAGCATGCCACCGATTGAAGCATTAATACTATCTGATTCACTTAGTTCCTTCAACAGTATTGCTTCTTTAAACCCCAGAAACTCTCTAACCTGCAGCATTCGAGATCTAGTATATTAAATTACTGAAAGAAACTACAGTGTTAACTTTATGTGGATTCCTGGACACTCTGACATTGCTGGTAACGACCGAGCAGACAAACTGGCTAACGAGGCAACGCTCTTACATAATATTGAAGGAATCCGTTATGTTATATTGATCCGTTGTCGATTTCAGAAATTTCCACAAAAAAGTGTTCTTCAGTATACTTCAAAATGAATGGGACATCCTCGAGGGAACTAATAAACTTAGATCACATATGCCACTTCTTCATCTGTATCAAAATATATATTCTCTTGAACGCGGATCTTTTTGTAAAGTTGTTAGAACCCTCACAGGACACTCATATCTTACAAAATCATATATTATCAGAAATGAACCCCCTCCGAAATGCACCTTATGCAGTAATTTAATGTCAATGACACACATTCTTTTTGAATGCTTACCTGTTGCCTCCCATAGGTCTAGATTCTTTAATGCTGTTACCTATGAGAATATTTTCGCGCCTTTTAACATTTCGAAGATTAATAAAGTTATGGAATTCTTAGACAGCATCAACATAACGAAACAACTTTAATTTCTAATAATTTAAAATGACCTCATGTTGACTAAAGCTTGATTTTCATGCATCCGTTGTCCGACGATAGGATGATACGATATTAATTTTATTGGTTGAATTTAACGGCTTCGATTGGTTAACCGTTTCTAACCAATTAAAGTCTTTAAATTCAACCAATAAAATTAATATCGTATCAACGTATCGTCGGACAACGGATGAATGAAAATCAAGCTTAAAGCTTGTTACTGAGTGCTAAAAGACCCTCGCTGTTGATGCGCTCTATAAACCAATACCCCCCCCCCTCTCTCTCTCTCTCTCTCTCTCTCTCTCTCTTGGTTAGGTTCAAACATTTTTCCCTTGTTAAATAAATTTAAGCGTTAACGATATTCTCTTATTGGATAGAAGAGAATATCTCATGTAACGTGAGTCAAATTTTGTTCATATTTTTTTAGTACCCACTAGATCGTGAGTCACTAAACCCATTTGCACAAGAGTTAAAATTAAAAAAATATAACTAAGCATTTTTAAAACTAAACATCTTTATCTCAATTCAATTGGCTTAACTGATAAAAAAGAGCGTGGTTTATCGATTTTTTTTTCAACAAACAAAATGTGAGTAAAATTATAAACTTTATTTGATATTTCCTGGTCACTTTTACTTTATTTAAAATACTACAAATGCATTTGTTGTCATTTGCGTAACTTTAGAACTGTAATAATCAAACTGAAGTTTATAGACGGCATTTAAACTTCATTTAAATAGCTTTTCTGTCAATGCAGTGCTGAAAAACATACAAATAATATATACAGGGTGGTCCGAACTGTGTTCCGGACACTTCGGTAGAATATTCTGCAGGTAAAAAAAATTGTATAAATGTATGTCCTAAAATACTTAGTTTTGGAGATACAGGGTGTAAAAGTTTCATTTTTATTTCGATTTTTTCTAAATAATTTCTGAAGTAACGTCAATATTTGGACGAAAATTGGTCTTTGGCAGTTTTGTGACATGAGGAATTTGATTTCAAATTTATGATTGCAGTCTAATAACCATTTAGTCAACATGTTTAATTTATGTCAATGAAGACAGGTATTGATCATTTCAATTCCAAATATCTCGAAAACCATTGCTCGTAGCGATTTTTATCAAGAGACCTTTTTTTTGTAAAAAAAGTTGTAAATGCACATTTTTTACTGAGTAGTTTTATACAGGTATGGACGAAAAGATATTACTCTTCAAATCACTTAAAACATATGTAGGTGGCGCCCTCTACAAGTAGGAGTCATATAATATTGACATCAAAATCAAATTTCTCATGTCAAAACACTCCTGTATCTTCGAAACTAAGCATTTTAGGACATAGATTTATACGAACTCTTTTACTTATTTTAGTCAGCAAAATATACTGCCGAAGTTTCCGGAATACAGTTCGGACCACCCTGTATATTATCGAATATACAGGGTGGTCCGAACTGTATTCCGGAAACTTCGGTAGCGTATTTTGCAGATAAAAATAAGTAGAAAAGTTCGTATAAATGTAAGTCCTAAAATGCTTAGTTTCGGAGATACAGGGAGTAAAAGTTTCATTTTTATTTCGATTTTTTCCAAATAATTTCTGAAGTAACGTCAATATTTGGATGAAAATTGGTGTCTGGGTGTATTTTGACACGAGAAATGTAATTTTGATATCAATATGAATCCTACTAGTAGAGGGCGCCACCTACATATTTTTTAACTGGTTTGAAGAGTAATAACTTTTTGTCCGTACCTGTATGAAAATACTGAGTAAAAAAATATACATTTACGACGTTTTTTACATGAAAAAGGTCTCTTGTAAAAAATCGCTACGAGTAATGGCTTTCGAGATATTTGGAATCGAAATTATCAATACCTGTCATCATTGACATAAATTAAACATGTTGACTAAATAGTTATGAAATCATAAATTTGAAATGTTTTTGTGCCAAAAGTTCAACAGAAACTGTTTTATCATCATTTTTCGCAGAAAAAATTATGATTAATTTAAAAAAATAAAAATTTCCCAAATTTATTATATCAGTGAAATAACTATCTACTCAACGTGTTTATTTTTCGTCAGTAATAACATATATTGACTATTTCCATTCTAAATATCTTAAGAACGGTTGTTCGTAGCGATTTTTACAAAGGGATATTTTTTACGTAAAAAGTGTTGGAAATGTATATTTTTTCACTCGGTAGTTTTATACAGGTACGGACAAAAGTTATTAAGCTTCAAAACACTTAAAACATATGTAGGTGGCACCCTCTACTAGTAGGAGTCATATTGACATCAAAATCAAATTTCTCATGCCAAAAAACATCCAGACACAAATTTTCATCCAAATATTGACATTACTTCAGAAATTATTTAGAAAAAATCGAAATAAAAATGAAACTTCTACACCCTGTATCTCCGAAACTAAGTAGTTTAGGACATACATTTTATACGAACTTTTTTACTTATTTTTATCTGCAGAATATGCTGCCGAAGTTTCCGGAATACAGTTCGGACCACCCTGTATATTATCCATACAAATTATAAAATCTAAATAAACCGGCTTAAAGAAAGAAATAGTTGCCAATCGTAGCAAATAGTAGCAATCTTGGTTAAAACTCTTGAACTCATAGGTTTATCATCATCGGACTACAGATATTATCTACTGTAAGTCTTAAGCTGCTATACCTACATTGTACCACTCAACTGAAACTTTTGGTATTCCTGTGTAATTACAATACAACTGATGAGGCTTGCCAGGAAATGTAATGTTTATGATATCATTAACGTTTGTATCTATAATTCTTGGCTGTTCCGGATCTGAAAAATACAATAATAAAAGCTACTGTGTACTAGGTGGTTTGATAATAGCTAGATAATTAATTCGGGAACCATTAATAATAGAACTTCAGGAAAATAATATTTATAGGTAAATCGGGTAAATCAGTGATATAGAGTCAAAGAATATCTTAATACCCAAACCAAACCAAACCAAAAACTATAATATTCTTTGATAGAGGTAAGAAAAATGAGCTTTGATGAATGCGGATCCAAAATTTTTTCCTATGCCATGGGAGCCACTTAGTCTACAGAGGAGATCAAATAAGTAATAATATCAGCTCATAACTTCAATTTGTCTGTGCTTAATTTCGTATTTTGCCCAAAGTAAAGAGGCAACAAAGCAATGAGATTTTTGAATGTCCGGAGTGCGGTAAGTAAATAACATCACGTATCGGGCTTTTCAGTCACAGAAAAGCTCATGAAAAGCTCAGAAAAACGCCTTGCATGACCATCTTCTGATGCGTGTCAAATACTCGTCAGCGAGTAATGGCAGTATATATGTATATATATATATATTTAGAATTGCTAGGTTTTAAGAGATTAGTTTGACCTGCGATTTTTTTTTGTGTTTTTTGAACTTAAAATCATTAGCGTAACTATTTAGCGTAATTATTAGCGTTTATATATTCAATGAAATCCTCAATAGATTGCAGACAGACAATCATAATCATAGATAGACAATCATTAGTGCCATAAAACTTTGGTACGACTGATATCGGAGATGGAGAACTAACTTTAAACTTAAAACTCTGTAAAACTGTCTCAGATAGTGGCTTTTGGCAAAGAAAGCTCTATAAGGTCGCGGTGGTTAACTTTCCCTCTAGAATGTAGAATGTAGAATGAGTGAGAGGGGGGGGGGGGTAATCACTGCTACCTTAAAGATCTATTGTGACCCCTTCCTTGAGTCATCACACAGTCATACCTCTGTTGTAGAGGGGACAGGGTATTTCCCATCCTCCTCTGACAATAGATCCTCCGAGGGTACACACTACACACCCTTCCACGGTTGGAGTTTGGCCCTCCGTGCCCTTCACAGTCGAGGAGCTTGCCTCCGCCTGAGGTACCCGTGAGGTGTAGGCTAGAGGATCTGTCTCCATTTTCTTCACCTCTTTAACTTGGTCTCTCCTTAGACCTGATACCGGTGTTGTCCCGTATCTATAATAGAGAATATGTCCCTCTTTCTCTATTGCCTCCTTGGATTTGAGGTGGTCCTCACAATTCCTGTTGTGAGGACCTTCCGTGAAATTTCCCCCTAACTCACTGAGATGGTTAATTATGACGCAGGTAACTCCATATTTAGCAATAGACTTGGTAAGGCAAATGAAGATGGCAATGAATAGATAAGACTTATTTTTACCTTTAACTGCAAACGTCACGTTTTTGTACTCCATTTTCCCGGCTTTGTTTCTTATTTGACAACTATATAATCCGCCATCATTTTCAGAGGATTGTGGCAAGAATACTGTGATTTTCGTGGACATATCTTCCTGTAGCACAGATACATTATACTCTAAAAACAAATATTTGTTAATAAGAGATTGCGATTAATGTGAATAAATATATTTACTCTCGTCTGGAGTTAAAATATTGTCGTCATGATAAATTTGCACATCCGTAGATTTTTTCGGTGAAACGGCACAAGTAAATTTGAGAGGATAGTTCGTGGCAACGATTACTTGTGTGAATTCGTCGTTTTCGTTTATTATGGAGCTATCGTCGTAATTGTATATGTGGAACCCGTCTTTGATATCTAAAATAATAAAAAGTCAGTATATTATATTTAAAACGTTATAATTTTTAAAATTAACGTAAGGTAAAACGTTGTGTCTAGATGAAGCTTTACACAGTACATAAGATACTATAAACGTGATTTGTATTATATTTTTCTAATTCTATTTAAATCGTTTTTTATACAGGGTGTCCCAGAAAAGTGCAGTATAAATACAAGTAATACACTACATACACACTATAAGTGCAAGTAAGTATTTTAACGGGTGGCAGATCTCGATAAAAGAAATATATTTTCTCTTTATCGTTTTTCAAAATAAGTCCAAAATAACGGAGTTATTTCACTTTGAAAATTTGCAAAAAAATTTATTTTTTGCTAAAATTTTGAGAACCACTGGATCTTTTCTGAATTTTCTTTCTTGTAAATTTAATCTACTACCTATGTTGCCATATTATCAAGAAATTATTATTTTTTAAATAAAAACTAAAAAAAAAATCCAAAAAATGTTTCAAAAAATTCCGAATTTTCAAATTTTTTTTTCGCGAAAAAAACCTCATAGGCGTGTTTCTGGGGTTGAAGTATACTACCAGTTAAAATACTTGCACTTATTTCTGGGACACCCTGTATTTCCGTGAAAATAGCCATGTAATAAAATTCCAAATATCTGCCAAACCGTTAAAAATATGAAAACATATTTTTAATTGCACTTTTTTAATTCTGTATTTAAAAAGAATATACAGGGCGTTGAGTTAAAGAAGAACTAGTATAATATTTTACTGAATTTTAACAATTTTGAGATTAAATTTTTAGACTACTGACTTTTCAGATTACTGTAAATTTTACGATTACGATATTTTTAACGAAGTACAGGCCAATCGTAGTAAACACCAAGCGTTGTTTTGACTTGAGAACATCAATTTATATTTTTAATTATTTTTAAAAAATATTCCAAAATGTATATTTTTTTATTTGTATTAATTTATTTCTCTGGAACTAATCAAAATAAATTTAATAATGTCCTAAAATTATGTAAAGTGATCAGAAGTAAATCCAATGTAATTATATACTGGGTAAATACATTTAAAGCATCTATCCTTATTAAGTCACATTTTTGAGACACCGTGTACAAAGTTTTTTTTATAATAGAATACACAAGATATTTCAAAATCTATTTCTTCTTCTCTATCTTCTGTGTATGCACGAACAGTGAACTATCAACAAAATGGTTTTTTAATAATAATAATTAATTTTTGAATAAATTTTTGTATCAGAATATCTGCCTAATGGTTGGCTTTTGACCCAAAAAAGCACCCCTTAAAATTTACCTCGTATTGTCTAGATATTTACCTGATGTATAAATTTGAACACTTTCTTCTTGAGATCCGTTAGAATTATCTGCCGAACAAGTTACCGAAGCTCCATCTACAGGCAAAATAGTTATCGAGGAGAATTTTCTGAATCCCCAGAAAACCTTATCAACCTGGTAATCTATCTAAAAACAAAATTAATTAATATATACATATATTGTATAGTGTGGTAGATCTAGATAGAACAAAGATATTTTCTGTTTGCAATATTTAAAATAAATTAAAAATTATTACTTTAAAATAAATTGAGAAAGAACATTTTGAGAACCAAAGAACTATACTCGTATTATCAATTAAAACTAAAATACTTCGTAGATACTTATTTAGAAGATACTCTGTATATATGACAAATAAATATATTAGTTTGGGTCTTAGATCTTATAAACTTCGGTTTGGGTTCACATGCATCCTCTTTTGTCGTTGATTTTATGCAATTTTATTGAGTCTTTCTACTTACTGTTTCTTCTTGACACCTATGGCATTTTTTGTAGATCCACGTAATTTTCGGAATGGGGTTACCAATACCAGTGCAGTTAAAAACAGCAGGTTCGTTTTGAAGAAAGACATTTTGGCTTTTGAAGATGACAGAAGGTGCACCTAAAATTATGTTTAGCATTATCAATATTATAGAAGAAAAATCAATTTACTTAGATACATTTTTATATAAAAATAAACAATATATGTAATGGGTTGCCAATTTAAAATGGACGCACAACAAACTTCTCATATCTTTAGGAAAATTACTAGTGAGAAAATCAGCCAAAAAGTTCAAAAATTTTTCTGTTCTGGCCAATCATAAAATAGGATTTTTCTCAAAAATATCTCAGGGAAGAACTATTTTAAAAAGTGGTATTTTAATCAATCAAAGCTGGAAGATTTTAATTATAGTGAATTTGCTCTATCTCATAAAATATCGTGTTAGGGAAAGGTTAAACTCGCTTTTGGTAAAATAAGGATAAGATTAGGTCCATTTCTTAAATCAGTCAAAACTTGTAAATTTTCAGGAAGTTAAAGAAAAGTTAACAATATTTCCGTCAATGAATTGAGAATACAAGGACAGGTAAGGCCCATATACGGGCTGAAGCAGAATTTGTGTTGTTAGACGCCATTTTTTTGGAGGAACGGATGTGTCACCAGCGACAATTTTAGCGATTTTTAATAGTTTGTTGTATGTAGTAAACTTTGTATAAACTTTATTACAATTGTGATTTGTTCAGCTTTCAAGTGTAAAAGCCGCAACGATAAGATAGAGCCAGGAGTTACGTTTCATAGGTAAATAAACAGTGCACTCCACTTTTTTTAGTGTTTTCTTATTGAATTTGATAATTATTTTTCTGATATTATATGTACTTCATATGTTCTATAGGTTGATACTAGTTTTATTTTTGAAAATATTTTAATACGTTGTTTGTAATTAATTAGTATGATATTACCTAAATAAGCAACATACACCATAGGCGTAGTCAAAACCATTTATCAAAAATGTAAATATCCCGTCAAGCAGCTAAGTTAAAAAAATATGTGGCGCGCCACTGTTTGGAGGTGTGGTAACAATTTGGTCTCGGGTGTTATAGGTCCTTGTATTCTTTATAGTCAATGGTTTTAGGTTTATACCAATCGCTAATCTTAAAATTCGCTAATACAGTATCACCAACTGTTTCAATCACTGTTGACGCTTCGTACTTCATATTTACTTACTTTCGACATTCAATATAAGTTGTAATTCTGAAGTTTGGGAACATTCGTTTCCATAATCATTTTTCGAACTGGTACCAACAATTTTATACACCCCGTCATTTTCTAGCGATGCGTTTTGGATTTTGAACAAAATTGAATCGTGCAGATATGATATCACATACTGAGTATTGTTCTTTATTTCTCTATTTCTAACATCGTACCTAAAAATACAAAATATTATATTAAGTTCATGCAGAATAACTTTAAGTTGACTTAATTATATTTTATGAGGCCACCCTATAACATTATATTTATAACTTTATTTCGTTACACACAACTTTTATAGCTTTTTGCCAACGGCTCAGTGACGCAGAGTTTTAAAAAAATTCGTGAGTCCTCATCAGATATAAAGTTAATGTGACAAATTTCTTGTTTCTAGTTAATGTTAGGCAGGTCTCTGGAAGCCCAAGCAAGTGTCCCTAATAACAAACAAAAATAATGAACTCGAATTAGACCCTGACAAACAAAAACTTATCTGGGAAGAATAGCAAAATAAAAACACTAAATCACCAAAACATACACCAAAACACTTTTACTTTTACACTGGACGCGCGTTTCGCTAACCATGTTAGCATCATCAGCAGATGATTATAAACTGAGTTAACTTTGCCTTGAGTTATAACTTTGAGTTTATAATCATCTGCTGATGATGCTAACATGGTTAGCGAAACGCGCGTGTAAAAAGTAAAAGTGTTTTGGTGTATTGTGGTGATTTAGTGTTTTTATTTTGCTGTTTAACACCAAAGGTCCCAACCCTCAACTGTAATCTTCGTTGGGAAGAATACCTGAAGGGACTTATTCGGAGACGAAAGAACACCTGCAGGGCCAGTCCTAAAAAAAAACCATCTAAGGATTCTCACGTCCGAAGTATCCCGGGCAATCGCCGAAATCAAAAATAACAAGGCACCGGGCGAAGACTCTACCGTAGCAGAGCAATTCAAGAACCTCAGCGAAGAAGCAATGGAAAAACTTACCCAGCTGATGAACGCCATCTACGAAAGCGGTATCCTACCCCAGGACTGGCTGACTTCTACGTTCGTATTTCTTCCAAAGAAAAATAAAGCAAGGAAGTGCGAGGACCACAGGACCATTTGCCTTATGAGCCATGCTGCTAAGATAATGTCGATCGCAGTATGGCTTCAGAAGAGGAACAGGATTTTTTTTTATAGATGGGAAACGCCATTTACAGCCAGAGTGTGGGGGTCACCTCTCACCCGAGTCATACCCACTAATCATCTTCCTGTTTTTTAAGCATGATGGCTCTCATCATCCTGGTGATTGCTTCACAGTTCTGTTGACTGTTGTCCATCATAAGCTCGCCGACATTTTCCCTTGTTATTTTAACCTTGCATATTTGTTCCGCCGATGCTCTAGTCTCCAAATGCCTACTACACTCGAATAATGTGTGATTGGTCGTGTCTGATGCTTCACAATACCAGCATTTTGTGGATTCCGCCTTAGTTATTCTAAACAGGTACTCTCCAAAAGCACCGTGCCCTGTCATCGCCTGGGTGATGTAGTAGTCCGTTTTCGTCCACGTGTTGTTTATCCAAACCCTCACGTCCGGGATAAATATATTAATTCGACCCTGGTATGCCTCCCATCTGTTCTGCCATTTGTCCAGTATTATCTTCCTGGCCTCTGGTCGATACCCTGAGCCGTGCCTGTATATTAAATTTCTTTCCTCGATTTGTAGGATAATTGGGGGAATTTTTGCTAGAGCAAAACAGCTTCTGTGGAAACTGTACGATACGCCGACACTACGCGTAGGGCTAGCATTCTGTTAATTATCTCGAGGACTTTTTCATAATATTTGTAATCTGTTGCCCTGCTCCAAATGGGCGAGGCGTACAGAATCATCAAATGCACAACCGAGGCAAGCATTCTCCTCTTTCCGTCACTGGGGCCTCTAATATTGGGAGTGATTCTGGTCAGCTATTTGATGGTATTAACCGTCCTGTCCCTGATTTTAAGGACATGCGTAGTCATGCGCATCCCCGAATCAAGGCAAACACCCATATATTTTATTGCCTTTTGAGGTCTGATGTGGTAATTTCCTAATTGGATATTTAAGTTCGTCGTCTTGCGATGTCCTACCAGAACGACAAGTTCTGATTTTTCTGGTGCAAGATGTATGTCCATTCTATCCAACTTATTGGTTATAGTTAGAGCAGCTGTTTGTATCTTTTCTTCGGAGATGGTGATGGTTGGAGCGGTGATCAGGACAGCCAGATCATCCGCATAAGCCATGAATAAATTACCTGGTCCAATATCGACCCTCAGGATCTGGTCATAGAAGATGTTCCACGAGGTCGCGGTCCTAAAATGGACCCCTGCGGTACCCCGCATGTCATCTTGTGTTTTTTGCCGTTTTCTGCAATTACATATCTTTTCGACAGGAAAGACTTAATCATAACGATGAGGTATTTACTAATCTTCATGCTCTCTAATTGTGCAACAATTCCTGTCTATGTCCCCTATTCTTATATGATTTCGTTTTGATACGGTCTACGTTACTCGTAACGATGTTTAACGTAGATTAGCCTCTGCGGAACCCATATTTGTTTGGGTGTAGTCTGTTTCCATCCTCTAGTTCTTTCTCCAGTCTGTCCCTCAGAAGACATTCTAACAGTTTGGCACTGGTATTAATTAAACATATTGGACGATATTTTTTGTCTTGACTTCCATCATTATTGGGTTTCTCTGCTAGAACAAGTTTGGCAATTTTCCACGAGTTTGGAAACTGTCTGTTGGTAAGACATTTGGTAAGACTGGTTCAGGATCTCAGTAATTCTCTGGGGGTCTTGCATAGCAGCAATTTTGATAACTTCCACCGGTATGTAGTTAGGGCCAGGAGCTTTCTTGTTTTTTCAGTTTACTTGCTGCAGAACGCACCTCTTCTTGAGTAAACCATATTACATCATCCTTTTTTTTTTGTGTATCCCAACTATTTGACTGAGCTTTAGAGAACAATGTTGTGATCTGTTTTTCTATTATGTTATCTGTAACGGGAGCGTTGCGTCTGCCGATGAACTTTCTCATTACCACTTGGTAAGCCTTACCCCAAACATCGGACTCAAGTTCGTCACAGAGCTTTAGCCAATTCCTTTTCTTGCTCCTAAGGATTTCTTTTTAAGACTGTGCTTGGCTATGCTGTAGTTGGTACGCGCCTGTTCCACGGTTCGGGTCCATCTCGCGTTCTCCGCTCTTGTTAATACCCGTCTCTCTTTAATGGCTAAATCTTCCTTTTCAACAATCTGTTTCACCAGTACATTTGTTTTTTATCCGTTATTCTTTTCCTGGGGAGAAAGGAATTACACAACTTTCTGAGACATTTGTCTAGCCCTTCTGGGGATGGCGTTTTCATTTTCAGTCCGTTCTCCTCACAATAGGTACTTATCTTTTGTAAGCCATTTATTGTTGTCCTCCATCCGTTTATCTTTGCGACCACGTTCTCCTTCATCTGAGTATCAATCTGTATGTCAAATCTGATGTAACGATGTAGGCTTAGACTTTCCTCCTCAGTTATCACACGCCAGTTTCACACGAGTCTACTGATTCCCGGAGTTGCGAGGGTAATATCTGGAACAGGAACAAGAGAAGCCATCCTGGGAACAGGAACAAGAGAAGCCATCCTTAATAGCTGAAAGATACTTGGAGGTAAAGAAGGATCTTTATGTCTGCTTCGTAGACTACATGAAGGCTTTCGACCACATACAACATGAAAAACTAATAGACATCCTCCAGGAAATCGGAGTAGATAACCATGACATCATTGTAATTCGTAATATATACTGGAACCATAAGGGATGCGTCCGAACATCAACTGGAAACACCACTTAAGTAGATATCCAAACAGGGGTACATCAAGGCTGCCTCCTCTCCCCATTGTTATTTAATGTGTACTCGGAGTACATAATCAAACAATCGTTGGAAGATCGAGCTGAAGAAGCTAAACTAAATGGAATAGTAATTAACAACCTCCGTTACGCAGATGACACCGTAGTGATCGGACAGTCTAAAGAACAGCTACAGACTCTGATGAATATCCTAACAGAGCACAGTACCAGAATGGGTTTGGAGGTAAACGTATCTAAGACCAAAACTATGGTGTTTTCTCGGACCTCTCAAGATCACTCTCAATTGGACATTGTTGTTAATAACACCACTTTACATAATGTACAAAAGTACTGTTACCCGGGTAGGGAAATAAACAGTCAGCTCGACCACTCTCTAGAGATTAAAAGGAGAATAGAAATCGCTCGTGCAGGATTCGTTAAGATGCGAAGCGTACTCTGCAACCCGCGTTTGTCCATAGGGGTAAGGTTGAGAACACTCAAGTGCTACGTTTGGCCTTTGTTGCTATACGGGTGCGAAATTTGGACCCTAAAACAGGAGGACCTCAGGAAGGTGGAGGCATTCAAAATGTGGCTTTCTAGACGAATGCTACGTATAAGCTGGACCACTACAACAACAAATGTGGAAGTACTGACCAGAATGAACACCCGTACCCACTTAGTCAACACAACAAAAATAAGGAAAACCGCTTACCTCGTGCATATAACGAGACACGAAGAATACGAACAGCTTCAGCTAATACTTCAAGGTAAAATCGAGGGAAAGCGCGGCATAGGAAGGAAGAAGAAATCGTGGTTTCGAAATATACGAGATTAGACAAATATTTCAAACGGGAATACTTTAATACATCGAGCCCAACATAGGGAAGATTTTGCCATAGTGGTCGCCAACCTCAACGGAGACGGCACCTAGGAGGAGGAGTTAATGTTATATTCGTTGTATACAGGGTGGCCCGAATTGTAACCGGGAAACTTCGACAGCATATTCCGTAGATAAAAATAAGTAAAAAAGTTCGTATACAAGGTGTAGAAGTCTCATTTTTATTTCGATTTTTTGCGATTTTTAACTCATTTGAAGAGTAATAATTTTTCGTCTGTACCATTTTTTGTAGATTTTCGCCGTTTTTACGTAAAAAGACCTCTCGATAATAATTGTTGTGATTAACCGTTCCCAAGATACTTGTAAATTATCAATAATTATAAATAGACATGTTGACTAGATAGATATTTGACTGAAATGATGAATTACTCCAAATGAAATTTGGAATAACAACTTTTTATTTTTTTAAACTAATCATATTTTTTTGTTGTTTTTGTTGAATCTTTGGCACAAAAACATTTCAAATTTATGATTTCAGTTTAATAATGACCTAGTTTAATAATGTTCAATTTTTGTTAGTAGTTATCATTATTTGATTATTGTATTGATTATTATTTCTATTTCAAACATATCGAGAACCATTTGTTGTAGCAATTACTATCACATTTTTTACGTAAAAAAAACGGCGGAAATGTATATTTTTTCACTCAGTAGTTTTGTACAGGTACGAACGAAAAGTTATTACTCTTCAAACCAGTTACAAAATATGTAAATATGTAAGTGGCGCTCCTTACAAGTAGGTGTTAAAGTCTAGGGACTTAGTTATCTAAGAACTTTAGTAAAGCTTGATTTTCATGCATCCGTTGTCCGACGATACGTTGATACGATATTAATTTCATTGGTTGTATTTAAAGGCTTCGATTGGTTAACCGTTTCTAACCAACCGAAGTCTTTAAATTCAACCAATAAAATTAATATCGTATCATCGTATAGTCGGACAACGGATGCATGAAAATCAAGCTCAAGAGTCATGTCAACACATCAAAATTAAGATTTTCATCCACCTATACCTATCGACGTCAGTTGGAAATAAATTACACACACCGGAAAAGTCTAGGGATATTACAATTTTATCCAGCCATCGTCAGTAATTTTATTATTTGCATTTCTGATATAATAAAATTAAAATAAACAAATAGTTTACAGGACGCAAAAATGCGAAATTTACCGAATTTTAAAATTTATCTTGATTTTTATTGAACTCAAAAAAATACACACATTTTTTTTTATTCTAAACTGTGAATTAAAAAAAAAAGATAAAACCATTTTTACTTAATAAAGGGTATGGCCTCCTCTACTGTTCAATACAGCCCTACATCGTCTCTCCATGCTCCTGATCAGGTTGTCGATCTCTTCTTGAGGTACAGCCTGCCACGCTGCATTCACGGTCCGAACCAGATCCCTACGAGTTTCGCGAAGCATGTCCATTCTCAAAATCCTTCTTTGGACCGCGTCCCATACGTGCTCGATGGGGTTGAAGTCAGGAGATTGTGCCGGCCAGGGTAAGATGTTAAATTGATGAGCATTGATAAACTCACTTACCACTCTGGCTGTATGAGGCCGTGCATTGTCATGCATGAGAATGAAGTTTCCCCCAAAATCATTGGCATATGGTAACACGACAGGCTCAAGAATTAAATCACGATATGTGATTCCTGTTAGAAACCCTTCAAGTAAAACGAGATCGGTTTTTCGGCCTAACTGACTCCTCCCCAGACCATAACTGTTCCACCTTGATAAGGGTGCACTTCCTGAACATGATCCAACCGAATAAGATTTCCCGGTTTTCTCCATACCCTAAGTCTTCTCGAATCCGGATGAATTCCAAAGCGTGACTCATCCGTGAAGAGAACATTGGCCCATTGTTCATTCGACCACTTAACATGATCTTGAGCCCACAAATATTGTACCTCTCGATTTCCTCTCGTTAAGGGTTGAGCTCTCCAGGGGCGTCTGCTTCTTAAGTTGACCTCTCTTAATCTATTGCGAACAGTGTCAGGACTAACGGTTACATTATGTGTTTCCTGGAAAATTAAACTAAGCTCTGGTGCTGTAAGAGTCGGTCGGCGTCGAGCATTTAATTTTAAAAAATGATCTTGCTGAGGGGTAGTAATGCGATGTCGCCCTGTGTGCCTTTCAGCAACATCACCACTTTCACGGTAGCGTGCATTTAATCGCGATATTACACTTTGCGTTGTATTTAATGCTCTAGCTACGTATATTTGGCGCATTCCAGCTTCGAGCGTACCCATGGCCCTTAGCATTTCGTCTCTGTTAAGATGTCTACACCCCATATGTCGTTTAATACTAAACAGAGTTATTTGAATGAATTCTGGCCAGTTATCATAAAAACATAGCCAGTACAGGTTAAATTCGAACAATTGATGCTAGGCGCTTTTTATACATTTGACAAAAAATGCAATTTCACACTTTCAACACTTCTGCAAATATCCCAAATTTAGAAATAACTAGTGTGACTACTTCGTTTCAATCGAAGTAGAAAGAATCGGCCTACAAATATGTGGTTGTTTATACAAAACATTTATTTTTAACTTTAATAAAATGATATCTCTAGATTTTTCCGGTGTGCTTGGAAAAACGAAATAAAAATGAAACTTCTACACTCTGTATCTCCGAAAAGAAGCATTTTATAACATACATTTATACGATTTTTTTTAATTTTATCTGCAGAATATGCTGCCGAAGTTTCGCGAATACAATTCAAATGACTTCCATTTACTAATGTGACTAATTTGAGGCTATGAAGCACGAAAAGTACCAGCTAGAAAAATTACTTACCAGTGAAGTGTTGGTATTGGATGGGCATTAACTTTGACAACCCACTGTACATCTTCACCTCGGTATACAGATATGTTTCTTTGGTCATTTTGCTCAATAATATCAATAAAACACACATTCTTCTCTGAAAATGAAAATAAATTTTAAACTTGTACTAAGGATTCTAAAAAACTTCTAAAAATTATGTCTATTTTCAGAAATTAGTTAAAATTAAAATGATGAAATATTTATATTAATAGTAATAGTAATAATCCCGCAAAAAACACATGAAATGTAAGAAATTGCTAAGTCCCGAAATGCAGTTCTTCCACTACAAAAAGTTGTGAGACCTCATGTAAAACCAATGTGTGTCCATGAAACATCCATTCAACAACTTTGTTATAACTTCTTAACTAATCAGTTGCCCATCAACATTTGTAGTGACCGTATTAACATTAGACATCTTTATTTCTATAATATATCACAATATCAAATAGAGATGCTAGTTTCTGTGCAAACTTGTAGACCATTAGTATCTCTGAGCTGAGTTTGAAGGGTCCGAGCTGTTACGAAACGTTGTCTTAATGTTGAGAGTTTTAAAAAACGTTCCTGAATCGGATTGATTCTTCGATTCCTGCCTTGTCCCGGCCTGCGACAGTTACTCCCAGTATCTCTATACCGTTGTATAACTCGTGAAATGGTTGAGTGAGTTACATTAAATCGTTCACCAATTCTTCGGTAGCTCCAACCTTCCTCAGACAATATTAATGCTTGAGCACATTCTTCGCCAGTAAGATTTCTTGTTTCACGTGCACGTTGCATATTTTTGATATAATAAAAGGACGAAAACGACTGACACTGACAACAATCTCTATTTGACATTTACTGGTAATCGTGTTTTTTCATGCTACTTACTTTAGTGAGTAAAAGAGAAAAATGTTAATTAAAACCAATATTAAATCATATGTCATCCTATAAAATGTTGTTTCTCGTGTAATAAGGAAGATAATGGAGTAAATATAAAAACAAAATGTAAAAAAAAGATAAGGCTAAAATGTGATTTCAATTTTAACTTGATACTGTAACTGATCAACTCTACAGGGTGTCACAAATTTTATTAAAAAAAAACACGTTGTAATTGCTACACCTGGTATTAGTATAAAAGGGGTTCCTATCAAAATACAGTTAGTATAGCAACATTGTGGAATGAATAACCTATCATTAAAAAAAAATCGTCCAAATCGGATAAGTGGTTTTCACAAAAACTTAACTTAAAATTTTGGTTATTTTTTTGTGGTGCGTTAATTTATTGGGGAAGTGTATTTATAATTAATTTATTTTTGTTTCCTAAAACATTTTGATAAGAAAATATGTAGAAGTGGACAAGGCTGTGCAAAATTATCATCGATTGTCATTCCCCAGCCGTCTTTGACGCCGTTTTTTTTCTCGATTGTATGGTATTTTACTAAGATAAGTAAAATGCATTATTTTAAGTACCTTGAACATGGATGTATGTCCTATTCGTGTTCATGTTGTTTTGCTTGTCGGTTACAGTACACGAGTACCATCCTGAATCTCTAGTGCTTGCATTTGGAAGTGTCAGAGTTTGAACCAGATAATTTGCGCCATCCATATTCTCTTTGCGCACCTAAAAATAAATAAATATTTAAGAAAATATCTATTAAATTCTCTCTTATACACACAGATGCAAAAAAAATGCAACGGAGAATTTTTTCGTCAAGTTTAAAGTGTTATATTTTTTACTTTTAGCCCTATTTTCATCATTTTTCTAGCAAACCGTATATAAATCTATCAACTTTACTACATAAACTCAGTTTTTTTATAAACTTTAGTATTTGGCTTATTATACAGGGTTAAGTGAAGGGTTCTTTTTTACCTTAACTTTAAAACATCACGACCAGAACCATGTCTTCCGAGCTTTTTTTTTGACTCATGTCAACACATGGCTTGGTTGGAATTTTTAAAAGCTAAATGAATTTGCCACCAACAATTTGCAATTTTTTCAACTATCATTACTTTATGATGTTATTTTTTAATATCACGAGTTAGTCAGTCATAACCAACTGATTAGAACTCTATATTAAAATTTAAAAAACGTTAAAAATTAACGATACAGGTTTGGTTTTAATAAATATTTGTAACACTAACTGAACTAAGGATAATAAAAAAAACTGTAATAACTAAGTGTACAAACAAAAAAAAACTTGTAAAAGATACTCTAATACTTTGTATTGCCTCTCCCGGCTGCTATAACTGTCTGTAGACTGTTAATGAGGCTGCAAATATATTGTGTAATTTTTTCCCATTCTTCATCAAGGACCTAGCGAATATTCATAATTTCTTCAACAAGATCAATGACTTTTGCCCAATCTTCGAAACTGTGGACCATATTCAATCGTACACAACAATAATAGCCAACGCCACCTCGTCATTATGAAGAATAACATCAAAAAGCAACGATAATTGAAAACATTCTAAAATGTTTGTGGCAAGTTCATTTTTACAGTTGGGGGTTGGAACCTTTGGTGTTACACAGCAAAATAAAACACTAAATCACCACAATACACCAAACACATTTACTTTTACACTGGGCGCGCGTTTCGTTAACCATGTTAACATCATCAGCAGATGATTATAAACTAAACTACAATCTACAAGTTGAGCGTTTATATACTCGCTCAGTGGGCACTGAGTGGGCGAGGCAAGATCTAGCCAATCGAGTCAGAGCCCACCGAGAGTAACAGTTAGATTCCGCCACTAGAGTATTAGGACCAAAGAACTTGAAGGAATTAGACCGTTGTCTCTAGTCATACTATCTTTACATTTATTAATCCTGATGCTTTCATATGCATCTAATTGCCTGTAATTGGAGACCTGTTTAATTAATTTTAAATTATTAAGATCTATACAACGTTCTTTATCAACAATATGTTCGGCAACGCAAGATTTATCCGGTCTATAATCATCTGCTGATGATGCTAACATAACAGTGTAAAAGTAAAAGTGTTTTGGTGTAGTGTGGTGATATAGTGTTTTAAGTTCATCTTGCTCAAAAAAATTAACCAAGGCATGTGTTGACATGAGTCAAAAAATAAAATACTCGGGAGACATGGATCTGACCGAAAAATAATGTATTAGAAAAATTTGCTCGCGAAATTATTGCACAGGGTGTTTTAAAGATAGGGTAAAAAACAACTCTTCGATTAACCCTGTAAAATAAGTCAAATACTAAAGTTTAAAATACACTGAGTTTACAAATTAAAGTTGATACATATTTACATACAGTTTGCTAAAAAAATCAATGAAATAAATAAAAAAGGCTAAAAATAAAAAAATATAACATTTTAAAAACTAGACCATAAATTTTTCCATTGCGATATTTTTATGTTTTTATCCAACAATAAAAAAGTTACTGCCTTAAGAGAGGATAAAAGAGGGATACAATAAATTAAAAAAAACCTGTATAAAAGTCCATTATTTACCTGTCCAGATGGAAAATCTCTTCTATCCGGTGTATCCCATTTAAAAAATAGATTTCTCACTGCTTTTTCTTTCAAATAACACTTTATCATCAAAGTATCACCAACTTCTGTGTGGTTTTTAGACACATCTTCGATGTATGGTTTGGCCAAGGATGTTCTCGGTGCTAAAGATAGTTTTAAATGTTAGTTTTTCTTTTTATTTTTGTTAAGTGGTAATGTTATTTTAAGCACAGATAGTACAGTTATTCCTATATAATACAAATATTTACAAAGTCACTATCTAAGCTGAAATACATAGTTGCAATTTTAATTTATGTACAGTATATACAAGAGTGGTTAAATATTAGTACTATATGAAATACGCACAGTATGTCATAGTTTTATCTATCGTATTTCTTAGTTCAAATCAAAACAAATAGTATAAGATTTAATTTGATAGATATAAATCCTAAATGCTTTAATTTTAATAATTACTACAATTTATTTCATATTCCATTAAAGGAATTTACTTATTTTAAAGAAGGTGATAAAAAATCTAACGAGACTACACTTGAAAAAAATCATCAGGTCGGTATGAAAAAGAATTTGGCCTACTCCGGTACAAAAAATACCAGATTACCTTATTACCTACATACAGTATGAAATAAATTTATAAGTTAAAAATAAGTAAAAGGAGAAAGAAAAGAAAATTAGGACCATAAATTTATTTACAGTATGAGAAGTTAAAAAAAAATAATTATTATTTTTTGATTATTTAATTTGTTTCGTTTTGCTTTTGAACTAAGAAATTTACCAAATAGTGTACTATTATTCTAGTTTTGATATTAATATGTGAAGTAAAGAAACTAAAACCAAAATCAAAATGGATGTTTCAAACCATTTTTAATTTTTGTTTCGTTTTTGTTTAGAAGTATTAATAAAACCATTGCTACCCAAAACTGGACAAAGCGATATTAGTGGTGTGAAAAAGAAATGAATAGAGTGGCCATCTTTATATTTCTTATATATTTTTAAAGAATATTACAGCATTTCATTTGACAAACCGTGAATCATGTTCTCATAAATTATGAAAATTTCAGTAGATTAACTTTAGAGAAGTTAATAAATAATAATCTAAATTACCTCGGTCCTTTTGTATATATCGTTTTGTTTAGCACTTTACTATTATTTTAAATTTTCTAAATATTATTATTATATAACAATTACGTATGCAACTATAAATACATTTAATGGCATTTAACTGGTAATATAAAGGTTTTTTAAATTCTTAATCCTGATGATCTTAGTCAAGATACCGATACAAACATAGTAAACTATAGTATATTGTCATTGATCCTTTATAAATGTGCTTTAAAAGTTATAATATTATATAACTTAGCACCATTTTTTAAATATATAAATTACATATGAAATATACGATGATTTGCAATAGTAATTGACTAACAAGTTCTCAAAAAATTGTTTTCTGCGAAAAATTCTTAAATGTTTTAAAACAAGGTGATGCTAAACTTTTCAATCTATGTGTAGTTTGTTTATGGATATACAGGGTGGTGCATCGTCGTTGGAAACATAAAAAATCCCATGCTAATTTTGAACTGTCCAAATATTGGTTCCCCTCTATCAATTTTATAGCTAAGTCGTAAATAGTTTTTTTAAAGGTCTGCTTATGGTTGAATGCACATGTCACATTTGAACAATTTTGGGCAAGTCGATCTTAAGCTGTTTAAGAAGAACAACATCTATTTTTAAATTAACACTGAACAGGTAACAATGCAAAACCAGTCAAATTCAAGCATACCTTAAACTTAAGGTAACATTATCGTCAACATATGATTTTACCATTGTCAAATGTAATTTAATAGATAAGGCCTGTACGACACTATCAAATTTCTTTGTTAAAGATCTTTTATAAAAGATATTTGATGTGTAAAATTTGGAAAATAAGTTGATTATAATAATGGTTTTATAATTCACTATTCTAATAAAAAATATGCATTCCTTCGGAAACTATTTATTTATCTAGTAATGCTAAAACACTCTATTAATTTGAAAGTCGATTAGAGAAAATAGTATGATCCATTGGCAAGCGATGTAAATATTTGCGATCAGGTAAAATTGTGATGTAAGAGGACAGGCTTAGCTTCCGGCGGGTCAGTAGTAGACGGGCCGGCCGGCTGTAGTGTAGTTGTATTGTGTTTTGTCACAGAGCAGACGTTTGGAGGTGGCGAGTCTTTTGACTAAGGTTGCGAGTCTTTTTGTCTATTAAGGATGCGAGTCTTTTGACTAAGGTTGCGAGTCTTTTTGACTATTAAGGATGCGAGTCTTTTCACTATTAAGGCTGCCAGTCTTTTTGACTATTAGGGATGCGAATCTGTTTAGCGGCAGATTTGCGTCCGGGGGAAGCCACTCTACTTATTTCAGGTGAAACCAGCTAGTTGTTAAAGATTAACCATTACATCCGAAGAATATTTGAATTAGATGGAAGATATGGAATCGGATATATTGAATAGAATGTCAGCGGCTAGGGGGAGGAGTATCCCGGGTGAGTTTTACTATTTAACTATCAATTTTATCCAGATTAGTAAATGTTTGTTTTGTTATTTTCATGTACAATGAGAGTCTGCTTGCCAATGGCCAACTAAATGGATATTTGAGGTGAATTTGCATTGTGAGACCCGGTTGAGTAAGCCCCAGAAATAAGCGATTTTACAGATGAAAAATTTGACATTGTTAATATACAATATTTTAATCTTATTTACTCTATTAATCTATCTAATTTAAATCTATATAATAATAGCTCCCGTATATAGCGTTTGACGCCTTGGGAGTAGCAAGGTACAGCTTGCCATACTAGAGCCTTTCGGTATACAAGGCTCTAGTATAGATATAATTTAAATCTTATTTATTCAAACCTGTGATAATTGTGAAAAGTGTCATTATAAACTTAAAAAGCTATATGAACTGCAAAAACCATCGTGGATCGTGGCATAACGTCGGTTTCCAAAGTTTCATAGGTATTTAACACACGTTCTTATATATAAAATAAAGATTCTTATATGCAACACGCTGTATTTTATTTAAACAATTAAAAAAAAATAATAACAAATTTGAATAAATAATATTTGGCGACATAATTCCGGAAAAAGCAGAACAGCTCCAAAATTAGCTTTGGAGTGCGACTGTTCTACAGGGTGGACCATTTTGGTTGTTTCTATAGGGTATCTAGGAAACCGTGAGAAATATTCAAATTTTGATACTGCAGTCTCGGGTTCTTTTTTTGAAAAAATTACAATGGCGCAAACGGATCGTGGCTATCTTGATCGGTTTCGAAGCTACAGGGGGATTCTCAAATTTTGTACTAAAATCATTCATTCATTTGTATACTAAAGCATATGTGACAACCTCGCCGTGTGACTAAATGGTTATCGTTGAGTCACGACTATCGAATGCTTTTGATAAATGAAATTTAGTATTCGTTTGATTTTTGTATGCGTCAGTGCATTATTAGTTCTTCCAAATTTTTATAACTTCGCCGTATAAATACTGTGCTATTTTATGTTTTTTAAAATAGTTAAAATACTAAAATAGTAGCTATTTTTTAATTTTATTTATTGACGATTGTGTGCATGTGCAGGTGGTCAAAATTTTTTGAAAATTTGTGTGGTTTTCCGTAGTCCGATCTTTCAATTATTTAATTTTATATGGTATATGGTATATTTTTTAATGGGAAATTTTGAGAAGTAGCAATTTTTAAGAGAGATGAGATGAACTTACAATTAATTTAAAAAATACATATTTGTATTTTAGATGTTTTAATAATATGAATTAGTTGAACTTAATAATGATATTTAAGTAATGTGGTTGTATAATCATATTTAAGTAAATGGTTATCGAACTCAAACTATGGGGTAAGAAAATTAAAACGAAAGTTTTACACGTGCCAATTAAAAAAAAAAGTTAACGATGTTTGTATTTTGTTTATGCTAATTCTCTTACATGTAGTTTTTTGCGAAGAAAAAATATTTTATTTATTTTTTAAAGTAAATGCCAGTAAAAGTAAATATAATTTTTTAAATAGTAATATAAAGCACCTAATATAAATAATTTTGATTTCTAATTTTTATTTATATTTTCCTTCCATTACACTGCATGCTTAGAAAATTAATAAATGTTTATATTTCATGATTTTAAAATTTGTTGTTAATATAACAAATTAGTTCTGTAATTATTATTATTTAATAAACCAACGTTGCCAAAAAATTTAGAGACTATATTATTTTTAAATAGGATCTAATATAAATAATTTTGACATCTAATTTGTTGTTTATATTTTGCTACTACTTAAAAGAAAATATTTATATTAAATGATTTTGAATTTTGTTGTTAATAGGTATAACAAATTATTACTGTTATTATTATTTATTAAACCAGTCTTTGCTAAAAAACATTAAAAATAATTTTCCTGCATCCCAAAATAACAAGTATTATTGCAGTGTAACAACAGAATATTAATAAAAAATGCAGAATATATAAACATACTATCCCTAATTAACTAAAGCCAAACAATAATATTCTTTGCTAATATCAACTAATACCAAAATATGGCAACAGCGCCTTTCATAATGTATTTTCTGTGTAAATACTAGCACCTCAATAAAAAAAAATAATGTGTCCTTATCTATATCTGACTCCGCAAAAATCAAAGATGCCGGCTTCTTTCATAGCATTGCCACCGACCGCTGTCGGGTTTCTCGGAAAGAAACAACTAAAATTCAGTTAATATTTTATTATAATCGATCCTGACGAATGAGTGAATTTCATAAATGAATGAATTTTATAAATGAATGGTTTTTGCTGCCGAATTACTAGAATACAATATTTCAAGGCAGATGACGGATCTATTCGATAATTTTTATTCGAATAGTTTTCAACGAATGTTTTCTTACTAACTATCGAATTATTCGAATGAATTGCAACTATCGAATGTTTCGATTGTATTCATTCGATAGTTCCCACTGTGAATATTTTAAGAAAAATTTGAAATGTTGAGGTTAATAGTGAAAATAAATATAGAGTGTTATATATTTTCAAGAAGTCCATTTCAAGCTGAATAAGAAAATTTAAAAATATACAGGGGGTTCTATTTAAAAAAACATAAGTATGG